ACTTTTCAAAATTTTTTAAAAATCGAGTATGGTACATTAATCAATACAATACTGAAGGTTTTTAAAGACAACGCTTAAGTAAATCGAAAGGGAAGAGAGAGAAAGTGTAAAAGTAAGCAAAAGTAGAGAAGTGAAATTGAGATAAAAAAGCGTTTAAATTTGTAGTCTCACATTTGTCTCTTTAGACACTTTGCTTATGATAAAATCCTTAGAAAGAGTTCGGATTTTAAAGAAAGTTTGAGTTAAGACAATCCGTAGCGGTGAATTTTTTACCATCCGCTTTCAGTCTTATCCATTTTTAGTCCAAATTTCGTTCCCTTTAGCTGATGCTAAAAGAAAATATGGATTAGACTTTTCATTTTTCTTTACCTCAAAAAGTTGCGTATGCAGAACGAGAAGCTGTTGTGCCAGCTCGTGGCTACCAACATATTCCATCACAGAGGCATGAACAGACTCTACAGGACCATTTTGATCGAGTTGTGGGACCTAAATTCATAAATTAGTCAGTCTACAGGATCACATAATATAAAAAGACTTTATATTTACTATTTATTTACTTTGAGCTTATAATTAAATTTATAAGGATTTCTAGTTCTAATTGCTTCAGTCAACTATTTTGGGTGTTGCTACTTTACAGTAATCTTAACCGTACTCACCAATGAATCAATCTCGTCCTTGCTGACCACGTAAAGTTTGCTGTTGAGCGAAAGCATCGTAGCAATGCTGACATCACCGTCGTAGAAGACCACTTTTTCTAAAAAAGAAGAAAGGAAAAAATTTAGCACATTTTTTTTCGCTCGAAAATAAGTTGCTGATTGATGAAAAACTTTCTCAATGTATCTCTGACAGATAAGACGCAAATAATAAGTAACTGGTTGAAATTAGAATCTAGTTTGGCGTTAACACTTTAATAATGAAGAATAGAATTGTAAATATCATGAGATCAAAAGACGCAGGCATAAATGATTGGAAACAAAGTAATTTGTGTAGGACTTACATTATCACAATAATTTTTTAACCGGTCTAGTCATAGCGAGTAAAAATGGCGTTA